CAAATTTTTATTTTTTAATCATTTTTGCTGTAAATCTCACACTAAAGTAGAATCACAAGTGTTTGTCCACTGGAGTCTTCAAGCTTTTAAACCATCTCATTGTTGCTGCCACTAATATCAGCGTCCCACTGGTAAAGTAGGTCGCATCATGGATAATTTGTAAATGGCTTAAGGAGAAAAAGGAGCCCCACATATGTTTTAGTTGCACTAAATGTTGCATGTTGGATAGAAACGTTTCACTCTGAAGGACAATGCTTTATGTAAAACTCTACTGTTGAATTGAATTGCAATTTAAACTTCTGTTTACTGCATAATGTTTGCAGTAAACCATTAGAATCCATTAGACCATTAGGAAAAAATATTCTTAGGTTTTGTTCTACCACAGGTAGGGGTGTCTCGAAAACTAAAGCCTTTATTGATTTATACTTCCTTAAGCAGTATGATGACCTCTGACGCCTGACTCTTTAGAAACATTGTTAAAGGGTAGATGCCCACAGACTTGATTAGCAACTATTAACCCTATAATTTACAAAATCTTGTCGATGGATGACTTAATTTTAATTAATCAAAGCGACACCTCATGCCCATCCACCAAAGTTCTTGTATGTGACTCCTTTAAATACCTGGTTGCTGAGTCTTCCATCAATCGCCATTTGTTAGTATAATCATGGAGATGCTAATATTAAGAAACTTGCTCTGCCTGTTTTGCTGTATTATCATCATCCAGATCCTATAGTCTGCATTGTTAAATCTATCTAAACTTTGTCAGAGCTTTCCCTTTCGTTGGTGCAGTAAATTGTTTACCTGCATCAGAGTCCAACTCTTTCACCAATTTGAACTCTGCTTTTNTTGGTGCAGTAAATTGTTTACCTGCATCAGAGTCCAACTTATTCAGCAATTTGAACTCTGCTTTTGGTTCCTTATTCTTCATGCTTGCTACCTCTGAAAAAGTGTTTATTTTGTTCTAATCTTCTTTTTGTTCCTATGTCTGACAGCAGACATAAAACCTGCATTTCTTTGTTCTGATTTTCCATTATAGTGCCTCATGTTGAGCCCAAACACAGCCGGTGGTGGGACTTGGTGTTGCACGATTCTCAGCACCAGAATTACCCATAATGCAGCAGCACTTTTCTGCTAGAATAATGACTTGCAAGCTTGCAACCGAAATATAGCAACGGTGCAATAAAATGAAGAGCATAATTGAGAGCTAACCTTATAATCTCAGATTTCTTTTAAGAAAGGGAAGAAATTATTCACTAGAGAATTTCTTGAAAAATGTTTTTAAAATTTGAAGAGAAAAAAAAGAGCGCTTAACTTTTTAACTAACGACATTTTGCTGTAGTTATCTGATCTGTTAGACCTGCCTTTGCCGTTGCAATCTAACAGCTCTTTACCAGATTAATACATCATCTGTATGCAGTATCAGTCTGGCTGGCCCAGCTACTTCATGTATCCACTAAACTCCTCTCTGCTGACTCAGTCCAGCCATTTGAGGTCAGTGCTGGGAAGCTGGTGATTACGCCGCTTCATTCATTTCTAAACCAGCTCCTATGTGTGCTTGAGATATTTGTTCTGTAGGAACACAAAGTAGATGCAGCAAATCCTCAGCAGAATAATGTTTGGTTTGGAGTTAAATGAGTGTAACATTAAAGCATGCTTAAACATAAAACAAAAACATAAAAGCATTTTATTTAAAAAGAAACACTAAAAAAACAATGGTATGTTCCTTTTTTTGAACTGCAGTTTTTTGTGTGTTTTCACTGAAATGAACTCACAAACACCTTGATGAATCATCTCCCTAAATAACACGAATAAAAAAAAAAAAGGAAAGATATGCTGGTGAAGATTCTCAGTCATCTAGTTCATAGTCATTCTAGAAAGGTAAAAAAAACAATCCACTGGATTTTGTTTCCAAGTTTGAAGACGTTTCGCTTCCCATCCAGGAAGCTTTTTTAATTCAAAATG